GTGGCTGAGGCCACAGAGAGGCCTTGAAAAGGTCGCTTACCAATCCTGAAGAGGTCACTGGGAAGGTCCAGGTGGATGGTCACTTACCAATCCCGGCTGTCCTGGAGCTTACAGCGCTTACAGGATACTTCTTGATTCGGTCCAGGGGGACGAGACCAGTGGATGAGCCCACTTGCTTGCAAAAGGAGTTACATTGTGATGTGCCAGCTCCTGGAGTTGTCATAAGCTCTCAGGAGTTTCAGGACCACCCTGGTTGATAAAAGAAACATAATTGAACGTATCATCATCATCATCATCGTCATCATCATCGTCATCATCATCATCATCATCATCATCATCATCATCATCAACATCAACATCATCATCAACATCAACATCATCATCAACATCAACATCTCAGCAACCCCTGGAAGGTGCCAAGGACACCACATCTCACGAAGTCTCCACGGCCGTTCGACTCTCCCAGACACGACCGGTGGGGCTGCCAGACACTTCATGGACCCCTCAAAACCAATCACCCCAATGTAGGAGTGTCTGGCGTTTTCAAACCTTTATCCCCTACGTGACATCTTTCGAAGTCCGTAACTCTTCCGAGTTGGTGTTCCCCCCCAGTTACACCTCACCTGGAGCCTGTGGCCGAGCCTTGGGGATCCTCGGGCTGGCGGTTCCAGACGGTTTGGGTACCGCGTGACACGCGCGGACGACACCGGGGGGGAAAAAGAAAGAAGAATGAAGAAGACACAGGAAATGATGACGACACGTCATCTCCCTTTTAACAAGTATAAGAAGTCCAGTTATATAGACTCTTCTTGGGGAGCGCCCGAAGAACATGACCTGAAAGACATTTCTGCTTCTTTTTCCTGTTCGAGTCGACAAGTCAGACCCATTGTTTTTCAAGAACGTGGTTAGTCGACTCGCAGGGCATGGATGTGTCCCCAAACAACCATTTCCTATGTAAAGGATTTCAATTGCCATATTGGAACAACCATTTGTTTTTGGTTGTTTGGGGTTCCAAGCAGGGCATCTGTGTTCTTCACCACGGATGGCGACGCCCAAAACCTGCGGCGCGTTTTGCGAGGTCAGTGAGCTCATTGGTACCACGGCGTTGATCGCCCATCTCAATGATCGCGGAGCCGCGGCCTTCAACGGCAAGTTCTGCCGGATCGAGGCCTTCGATCCTCACGTGCGGCGCTACGTGGTGAAGGTGCGCTGCGGTGAGAGGAGAGCACAGGAGCGCCGTTTTGTCGACTCTCAAGGGAGAAGAGACGACATCATGTAGACTCTTAGATTGTTGAATCACCCCCCATATGAAGATCAAGAGGTCTTATTGATTCAACCGGGGAGGTTATTCATCCAGAGCCTCCATTGAGTCCACCCGTTTCAAAACACCAATCCGTAAAAGCGACCTGGCCTCCCTGGTAGCGTCATGGACGGGGCCCAGGTCCGTCGTCTATTCGCTTCATTCGCCCGGTTGGTCCAAAACCCAGGGTCCGAGGCCATGGGGACCCACAGACCCACAGCGATCAGGGCTCCAAGTCGTTTCGGTTCGGACGACTGGTGCCGACCGAAGCGAAACCGAGACGCTACGACTTGGAGCCCTAGGGGTTTATCATGTATCATCCTTTATCTATTATTATAGATAATATATAGTATACCTGGATAATATATGTTTATAATATAGTATACCTGGATGATCGTGACATGATTCCAAAGATAGTCTTCGAGGACGACTTCCAGGACGACGTCTTGCACTTGAAGCGGCAAGTATGTCAAGTGAGCCAGCCAAGTGGCTAGCGTGACTGCTTCACCTCCTTTGTGCGAAGAAAGCGTCCACTGATTCCCAAATTTGCAACACCGTTGCCAGAAAGCCGGTGTAACACAATGTATATAACACAACTTAAGACAGTGGTAACCAATCCTGGATTTCCAAACCTTCTGAACATAGATCCGAATCACGGAGTCGCAAAACACGAGGTCTATGCCGATGAGGGCCCCGTGACCGCCAAGCTGCGCCTGGAAAACCTCATCCTCCCCGGCACCACCGCGCCGGTCGCGCCGGTGGCCGCGGCGCCGGTGGAAGCGGCGATGCCGGAGGCGTTGCCGGAGGGCATGTACTTCGAGGGGTACAACCCCTGGACTTGGCGACTGGGCTGATCTGGACTGATCTGGGGTGATGGATGATGATGGATGTGATTGGAGCATGGAGTTGTTTCAAGTTTTAAGCCTCAAACTTCTATTCGGAATGCCGAATGCTTGAATATACTCGAAGCTCCATGCCCGCTGATGCCTCCACTGACCAAACATCATTGAGACTCTTTGGAGTGCTTCAACAAAGGTGACCATATATCCTGATACATCTTGTATGATCCTTCAACAAGCACCTCACTCCCTCACAGTAAGGCGCCATGCATTGATATTCCTGGCAACCTCAGAGAAACCCCAAAACAACACCTCTTGCACCGCTTGGGCATTAAAAGAGGCCAGCCAGCCAGCCGCTCGTTCCTGTCACGCAACCCCCACCTTTCCACTCGGCCATGCTGACCGCAGCCAGTCTGAGGCCGCCCAGTGCGCCTTCACTCGATCCCTTCGACCCCCTGAGCTGGTCGATGGGAGGAGGAGCCATGATGCCCTGGCCCTACGGCGCCGACGCCATGGACGCCCAGGCGCGGCGGCGGCGCTGCTCCGCGCGCGGCGGAGCGCTGAGCGCCGTCGACGGGTCACGCGCGAAGACCGGAATATGAACGGAACATGGGTGGAGGAGCAGCAAAAAAAGGGATTGGATGATTGGGAAGGGCGGGGCTCGGGCTCCTCCTTCACAGGTGCTGAAGGGCGTCGTCAGTGGGGTGGAATCATCACATTACATGTTTTGCACATATGTTGAATGCCAGGTGCATGGTCCGTGCTTGCCAATGACAAGCTTGCCACCATTGAGCACTACACCTCTGACTTGTGGCCCCTCCGGCGGTCTGCCATTCTCGCCGCCCATGGCTGAACAGCCTTTACCAGTGCCTTTACCCCCGTTTCCCGTGGACCAGCCAGTGACAGTGCACACGCATCAAGTCCTGGAACAACAGCTCATCCAGGAACACACGCAAAATCAGAAGCTCCTCACCCCGAAGTCCGATCCGCATCAACCTCCACTCGACGACGCGCCACCCGAGCCCTTAGCCGAGCCGCCCCCGGAGCCGGATGAGGGGCCGAAGCGCCGGCGCCGGCGCCGAGGGAAGCGGAAGAGTCAGAAGACGGGTGCGGAGCCGGCGGAGTCGGAGGCATCGAGCCATGCAGGAGAGAAACGGTTGAGAAGTGAATGCCTCAAGGATCAAATGGAAGTGAAGCAATCTGGCCTACATTTGGTGCTTTTTGCGCTTTTTGATGTTTTTTTTGGTCGTGCAAGGTATATAGTTTAGTCATGTAAATACCATGCTCACATGGATTGTTCGGGATATTTGGTCAGAGAGATGGTCATGATGCACATTTGATACGTCGACAGATCATCGACACACACACACACACACACTCTGACACTTGTATTCAGTGACTCAATTTCCACGATGGGAAGGATGGTGAAGAACCGCAAGGTGAAAGGTCCGAAAACTTGTAGGTGTTTCAACAAATTGTTGTTCACGTCTGCAGAAACGAGCGGCGCGCTGCGAGTCGGCTGCAAAGCTAAGCTGCAAGAAGCTCGGCGAAGTTTGGGGGAGGGAAACATGAAAGACCATGGAATCAAACCAAAGGAGATTGGAACGGCCTGGTCAAAAGTTGGCGCAGGTACGTCGAAAGAGCGTCCTCTTTCGATATCCTAGTCTGAACCTGGAGCTTCGTTGGCTCACGCCAGGAACAGACCCGTGAGCCCCCTGCACGTTGAAAGTGGTGGAAAAACGGTGAAAAGAGTGGCGGTGGAAAACCCTTTGTCCAGGGGTGGACACACACACGCACACTCTGACATTGGTTTTCAGTGACTCTGTTACCACGTTGAGAAG